GCAAAAAGAGGGGAAGAAGTGGTGTGAGTAGGAGACATTGAGGAGCCTACGGCAGCTGAGGTGGATGCAGCAGAAGAAGCCATCAAAACAAGAGCAAAGAATGGAAGAATGAAAAAACCGAGGAGTACAGAGTTCGCCGGAGAAGAAGATTCAGAAACTGGACAAAACGAAGTGGCAAAGAAAGACTTGGGCGCCAAGGAAAGAAGTGGTGAATACGAAGTTTACCTTAGGGTAAAAGGAGTTTGATGGGCTTGAGGTAAAATGGGCCTGTAAATCATAAGCGTCAAAAGTAAAAAATTATACATGGGCGCCAGGATATTTTAATAACAGAAAAAGAACGGACACACGCGCCGTATTTGCCATCAATGTTGCTTCAACGGTCAGGTACATTAAATGCAAACTCAAGTACAGGTCAGAATAGGGTATCATCGAAAGTGGCGTACTTCGATTGACAAGTAAGTAATCAAAGCAAGTCTTTATAGGAATTCGAATCTCTCCGATCAGCATACACTTCAAAATCGAATTCCTAGGGGGGCATTTGTTGGGGCAACTCGAAGACGAACGAGTCGAAATATTTGCAAGATTCCTCGAAAGAGATTATAAAGGCACGCGTCTACCAATGAACGAATGGGTAATTGTTTGAAATGGGACATTCGATGTGCTCGAAAAATAGTAACATGGTGCAAAGTACTTACGGTCATACAAGGAGAGTTAACGACTGGGTCGAGAAGTTAATTTACGTGAGATAAGCGGTTATGAGAAGTTACAAGTTAAAACCACGTGGTGAGCATAGTGGGCAGCGGTTATCCCCTAATGATGTACGTGCATGAAATTAACTGCCCCTAATTAATTCTATAAATACAAGTACTACGCACCTTAACAAAGGTCGGAAAACTCATACTTTAAACAAATTCTAAAGCATTCTCTGCCTGCACATATGGCTTCCATGCGAGGAATCATCTTTGGGTATGATCATTTCTTGGCCACTTTCCTTTTCTCTTTTTAGGAATAGAGTTAGAGTTAGTGTAATCTTTTCCTTTTTCTATTTTCTCCTTTTAATTCCGCATTTATAGACTGTAAACCTTGTAATGCTTGGACATTATCTGAAATGAATCATGATTTGCATTGTTGATGTTCGTATTGTTCATTCTGTACGTTTAAGTATTTACATGTACAAACATTATTGCTTGATAATATTTAACGAATATCTAGAGGCAAGTAATCATTAAAGCTGTATATTGTCTTTCATAAAATCACAAGATATAAAGCACCTGAATTGAAACATTAACTGTGCTAGTCCGAGTAAAAAGAACCCATAAAACGAATTCCACCATAAACACCTTCTTATAATAATCTCGAGAATATATTTTCAAAATATTTAGTTATTTTTAGAATATAATTCTAAAAATACAAATCTCGATAGTATAATTTTATTATGTGAAACAAACGACTTCTATATATGACTTCACAAATGCTGGAATAAAATGGGGCTTGGTTCTTAAATAAAACTTATGTTGTTTTCCCAGTTTCTTTTTTTTCTTCTTAATGATTATCTTAAAAAACAAATAAGCACCAAGGGAAAAGTAGAGTGATATAAGCCATATATCTTCCAATTGAATTTAGTTGTAAGACTTGGTAGTACGCAAGGGGCCAACTTACCATATCACTCAGTGGTGCAACATCTCGAGGCCTCCACATCAATATTATTTAAGAAAGAAGATAGATAAACAAACAAAACAAAAACATCAGATATCATTATGATCACAACCATGAACTAAACCCTAACACACGAAACACAGTATAGTAGAGAAAAGAAGCAACTATATATATATGTGTGTGTTTTATTGGACCCCATGTATGCATGCATGCATGCATGGACGTGGTTTCACTGTCCAGCAGCGAAGGCCTCAACAGGGAAGGTCTTGGTGATGCCAGCGAGGCTCTTGAAGTGGATCTTGCCAGTGGGAGAGTCATCGACAGTGATCTCACTCACAGGAGGCCACAGCATGAGCTCTTTGGCCTTCACGCCCTTCAGCTTCTTTATCTTCTTCTTCGAGATGTAGCCTGTGATGTCCGTGTCATAACTCACCAACTTGTTTATCCTCTTGAACTCGTGCTCCACCTTCTTCTTCTGCACGATCCACATGTACCCCGTGCCCTTCACGTGACCAACTTCGATCACATCTGCTAGAGGGAGAAGCCCCGCTGGAAGCTCGAACTCTTGCAGCAGTGACACCGCCAGCTTTAGACCCTCCTCGTGACCCTTCTTCACGATACCTCCTTCCTTTTCGGCCATGTTGGTTCTGTTCAAGAGAAATAGAGAGTGATTCTTTTTTTTTTTTGGTTCGGTTTGGAGGTTTTCTTTGTGTGTGTGTGTATTTATAGATTGTGCTTGTGAGGGACAAGGTCTGTGCTTTGTGGAGATCGAAGTGAATCTCTTTGTATTTGCCGTATGATGTTTACTTTGGTTTTGTTTTGGTTCACCCTTGTCCACATGGGACGGGACGTGGGTGGGTGTGATTTTCGAGAAATAGTGAGATGTGAATGGCGACATAAAACCAATCTGAACAACCAATGCAAATCAAGGAATACTTGGTGTGAGTATTGGGGCGCCGGGGGTTTATGAAAAAGTACTATGTTTTTTGTGTGTGCATGTATTTAGAAAAGAAGGAGGTGACAATTTTGAAATAATTAATGTCCGACCTTTTTACATTGATTATTGTTCAATTCAATGTAGAATAGTAAATTCTATGCTGGTTCTTAATTTAATCGATGTAAAAACTGATGTAAATTAAAATATACTATTTTACACCATTAAACAATGTTTCATGTAGAAAAGTGTGTTGATATATCACAGTTTTAGGATAGAGAAAAACAAATAGAGTAAAAATAATGTAGTAATTCTGTTTTTTAATATAAAATATATTTTTATCAAATTATTTAAATTAAAAATCAAAATTATTTTTACAACATCTGAAGATACATTTTTAACATTTCTTCTTGTTTTGGAGGATGCAAACTTTTATTTTTATTCTTCAAAATTTAACCTGTTGTTTTAAAATGACTTAATAAAATTATAAACACTCCAATCTTCTATTATAGAAGACTCTTATCTTACTAAAATAATATTGCTTCCCTCTCATATGACTGGGCCTTAGAACTTTTAACTTTTAATTTTTTAGTCAACTCCTTAATTTCAATCCTTATGGACAATATTTTTGTATCATAACTTTATATCTTTAATTCAATGACCTTCAACTCTAAATTAATAATTTCTAAACAACACTCTTACAAAGCTCAATTTTTGTAATTTTTTCTTTATTTCATCTTCTTTTCTATCTAAAGTTTCAGAAAATTAAATTATTTGGATATACATTGGTCATTGGGCTATAATAATATCCAAGTTAGTTACAATTGTCTACCAACAAAAGGCTATAATTAATAAACTTAATGAATAATGACATCTTAACTTGGACATGGTTGAAACATGTACTCACACACAATTCACTAATCACTGTCTTTTACATAAAACTAGGAATGAAATAAAAAAAACAAACATATATTATGTATTATTAAGTGTCACAAATATGTTGTGACATGTTTGAAATTAATTCTAATTTTGGTTTTTTTTTATGAAAATATATTATTTTTGTTTTTTTAGGATGCACATCAAATGTTTAAGAAGATTCTCCTGAGGAATCGTAGTGTTAAAAAATGTAATTTTACTAATTTAGAATAATTTAGAGTGATTTACAACAATATTAGAGACTATCATACTTTAGACACCTATTTATGACATTTTACGAGACTTAGATGAATTTTAAAAACTTGGAAACAATTTAGGTCAAGTTAGGTGTATGATAAAATTCCTCAACGGATAAATTAGTTTGGTTAACCTAAGGATGAAAAATAAATTTGTACTTGTGGATAATATCCAAACCTATCTCAACTTTGATGGAAAATAGTCAGTTTGACCAAATACAAATACAAGTATTGGTATGTGTAAATCGAATTTATTAAATCTTGAGCAGTTTGATGGGTATACATGATACCTGATAGGGATGAGACACAAATTCAATTATGAGGACGATGATAAATATAGAGTATAAACTCGAGGACGAGAACTGAGATATTGAAACTTGCACCTATCTCACCCTATTATCATCCATAGGTTAGTTTAATGAATTTGTTAGATGATTTAACCAAGTGATTTAGTTAAGTAATTTTTTTTAGTCAGACAAATAAGTTAGCAAAATATATATATATATATATAATAACTCAAGTTTAATAATCACATATAATTAGAATGATAACTAGTATAATAGGTATTAACTAATTTAAAACTTTGCCTAGCAGTTAAATTAAGCTATATTAAAACAAAGCATAAATTAAAACTATATTTAAACTTAGCCTAAAACTTAAGAGCTAAATCGGGCTAAATTAGGCTACATTAATAATTAGCCTAAATATTAAGTTTTATTAACACTTAGGAACCAAATTATTAAAAATTTAGACTATATTAAAATTTAGCCTAAATTAAAGCTTATAAAAAATATTTAAAAATTATCCTATATTAACTTTAAAATTTAAAGTAACCTTGTCAAAACATGGTGAAAAATAAAATGTGCAGGAGTACTGTGGCTGCAAACTGCAGTATACCTTGGAGACAGGCTTCCTATTATTATCAAGCTTCTCCTTCTTATTGGGTCTCAGCAAGCTGAGTCGCCCTCTTAACAATCTTGGCATAAGGAAACTTGAGCCTCTAAGGGAACATGGACTTATAAAAAAGGGAACATGTGACCTACTACGTCTACATGAGTACGTAAGTCACAACAATAAAGTGGGGTGTTGGAGAATTATAAAGTTTCGCATCAAACACAAACAAAAGTATATATAAGCTCAGAGGAATTAATATAATCAAATTGGATATTTTGAACAATTCAATTCTCAATTTCTCATGCTTAGTATAAATCTAATCCAGTTCACACTCTCCTACAGAGCCTGCACTACAAATTCCAAATCACAATACCATTTTTGTGCACGAGCAATCGCAATTTAAAACCAAACTAAACAACCAAAAATGGATAAATATAGTTTTATCGGGCACTTGAAAAAATTATAAAAAAGAAATCTTATTACCCTTATAACATCACAAAAGGTTCATTCGAAAACTTGCCGGAATATCTATTCGGACTGATTACGGTTACGGTTACGGTTAAATGAGTTAAATTTGATATGATAGAGAACATCAATTGATTGCTATATTATTATTTGTTATTTTCTGAAATGCACTATTTATCAATTATTACAAGCATTTCCTAATAAATCATTTCATATCTCATTATGATTAAAAAAAAATGAAAACACAGTTAATTTCATTGTTATTATTTATAGTTGTGAAAGCTGCAACAAGTTGCATAATTATTACTCCCATCTCCAAATATAAGGTCACTTGTCAGTCTCCTCCGTGCGAGTCTTTTTCTATAAACAAGTGAATGATGGCAAATCCAGTGAAGCTCTGGCAATAGACTTATATTCTTCAAGTTTTTCTAAATCCTTTGACGTGAGTTCCTGTCCGTGCATGTAAATTTTGACATCAAATATAGGCACACAAATAAGATATTATAAAGAAAAGTCTTTTGGAGCGAAAACTATGATTTTCAAATGACCATAAGCCTTCCCTAATAATTATATAACACGAATACTTTTGTTTTATGCACCTATAGTTCTCATCACGAGCCCTTGGTTGCAAAAAAAAATAAAAAAATAGCCAACTAAGAGGGACTATTTCATTAAAAGGTCATCATTAGTTACCTTATTATCCCACGCTCTTATGTAGCCCACAAGATTGATTTGCATCTTCTGCTTATCATCAAGGTCACTGTTCGCATCAATTAGGCAAACATGCTGCAAAATGAGTCCCAAGTAATCTCCATTGTTAACAACCATTCGCAGGACCAAATATATAATGTATAATCACAGAATCAAAGAAAGGATCAAACCAAGACACTGAATTATTAGGCCTATAAATGTCTCTGATTGCAGAAAAACAATATGATTGTCCAAACCATGAACTTCCATTCAAGTATAAAAAAAATCCAGGATGACTGTGTAATGTGCTCTTGCACTAAAACTCATAAGAATTTTGTAAACTCGATAAACATGAATACTAAAAGGTGGATCAAAAGTTCCTGATGTGAACCGAAAACAGAAATTGTATAGTATTATAATTGATTACTCACTATTTTTTTGTAGGAAACACAGGAGAAGTCCAAATTAATGCTAACCAATATCTTGAAGTTCCTATCTGTATCGACCTTGGCCCAACCGATGTAAAGCCCAACAGCTTGATCAGGAAGAGCAAGAATTGCATTATCTGGATTAAGGAATTAAAATTTATCAGATTAATGGAAAGATGTTAAACTTACTAAAAGGCTAAATTTGATCAGAAAGTGCATGTCAGCTGCTTTGAATGTACCAATATTAACACAGTCCTACACTGTTTGAAGAGTATGTTCTTGGAAGATTACTAGTTAATTCAATGTCATAGCATCATCTAACTAGGAACATGGAAGCTCAAGCTCGATAGAGGCCTAAAATTTGTGGTTCATGTTACCATTTTCATGAAATGAGAAAGACCGAGTTTTACAAACCTGTGGCTTCCTGTAGACATCCACTAACATACAAACCACTCAGATGAATTGGCTCAATAGGTAATGTGTTATCTAACCCTGCCAACATTAGTTTGAAAAACTACTCTGATCAGAGACAAAGTATTTACAGAAACCAATCAACATTCAGAGGAACTAATAAGTGCATTACAGTCATCAAAAGGTGGAAGAGCCCATAGCTCAGGCTGAAACTCTAGAAGTGAATGAAGAACAACATTTGCTAGCCCGTGACAATCAGCTTCCCTTCGAGATGGGATAGCCACTACCTTCATTTTTGCAGCATTGGCTGCCTTGACACCAACTCTGTCAAAGTACACTGGAGAACATAAATTATGTGTAGCAAGTATGAATATTACTTACATGACAGAAATCTGTGGCTGCACAAAAAAGAGCATAACAAACTTGGCAGGAGATGCTGCGACATATCATGATGGTGAATCAAAGCAGTGAAAGTGATATGCTCAATATCTTGAGATGAATACATAGTAGTTGACTACTTGAGATAATCTCTTCTCAACATATACAGATACCTCAATACCACCTATATTGTTTCTAGATCCACCAAACTGTCTGGGAGCATTATTTTGAGAGTAGTTAACTTGAAAACTTAATTGACTTGCAGAAGCAAGTAATGGATAGTTATGCATTATGAGATTTTTAAGAGTTTAATTTCTCTGCAATGTTAGTGAAAAAATCTTTACACCGTCAATTAATCAGAAATTATGATAGGAATGACTTTGAAGGTAGTTATTATATCAGTCAATAAACTTATTACACATGACAATTTGTAATTGAATCACTGTGTAAAATCTGTTTACATTGTTGGTTCATAGACTATTCTCATTTTTTAAAATAATAGAGTTTAGAATTAACAGGCAATGTCTCCTGTAAGACCGTGGATGTGATCTCAATAAACTAACATATTAACTCTTAATAAGAGGGATTGAAAAAAGTAAAAGATCGACTTCTTATATAATGTTCATTTCAGCCAGAAGAGATTCATCTAATTGCATATATCTTACTCATATAATGTTCATCACGGTATAATTTTTCACACCTTTTGCACTCAACAGCCTCCCACACTTGTTTTAGGCTTCTAGATTTGGATATGGCCAAAGGATTGGTTGATGTTATACTTCCATTATAGGCTTCATCACTGGTGGTACAGTGGCCTCTTCATCAATGATCACTCTCTGGTTTGAATTATCTTGCCAATTTTAGACAGTGCAAAAGCAATCTGACCCGAAAAATACTAGACCATCCTTGGTCAAGATTAGAATTTGCTGTCAGTTTGTCATGCGATCAAGAGCTTGTGAAGCCATGAAATTACTTCAAGCCAACTGGTTGTAAGTTTAATAAAAAGCACAATAGAAAATAAACTCTAGTAGACTTACAAGGAATCCTCAATCACCAGGCAGTTAACTGCATCTACACCCATTTTCTTGGCAGCTTCTTCGAATCTGCAACAAATAGTTTTTTTTTACTACTGTGACAAAATTGGAATAGTATACTTGATTGAAAAAATGAACATTCCGACTAAACAAAGATGTAAAAAATGAGAATGTTGAGAGATCACGATTCTGAAGGAAAAATTATATAATTGCATGGCTTTGAGATAATAGTACTTGATTATTTAGTGCTAATGTTGAGAAAATCTGCTAAAACTTGGGATGGTGGATACTTATTTGCTACCAAAAAATGTTACAGTTGTTAATTGGCAATGGATCCATATCTTTTCGAAGTTTTGTGTTTCCTGTATGAGAAGACAAAGTGCAGAAGTAGAATATTACAAATATGGAGAGGGCTTCCCAGATATAACTTGATCACTTCCTAGAATTGCAGAAAAGCTTTCTTTCCAACCTAAAAAAACCATAATAAGTATCAAGGGAAAAAATTTAAGCAGGAAACTAAATGTCAATGAGGAAAAGCAAGTGTTTATAACCCAAAAGAAAGTATAAAAGAAGAAATACAAAAAAGGTGGGTATTACTTCCAAGTAATTGGCATTGTCAGATACTACTCAGCTATGCTGACAAGTCAAAAACCTTTAAATTTTCCCTACAAGTAAATTTGGTCAAATTTTGGACATTTATTTCTATTTAAAAAGCATGGATAAAGATTAAATGTTTATATTTGTAGATCATGTTTTCTAAATTCTATGTCAGATATTCTTCCAAATTCCATCATACCTCATTTATATGGATTATTGCTGATTAATTTTAAAGACATTAGGCTAGTCTGCCTAGTCATTCAATTGATTTCAAAACCTTAAGCCAAAAATATGAAAAGAAAAGAAGAACTAAAACTATGTTGTTATCTTTGGCAGAAGATACTTAAGAAACTAGTACCTGTGTTTCTACATACTACTTAACTTTCTCAGTAATCAATTCAGAAGTAATAGCAAGAATGGAAAGCTGTTATGTAATACTCCTAGAAATTGAAAGACTTTAAAATGAAAGTCAGTAATAAACAACAAGAAGCTAGTCCAGAGAAACAACCTTTGTGATAAGAAATTTTTGCATCTATGTATTCTCGCAAGGAATTTGAAGCAAGAGCTATCGGCACTCCATTTTTCTGGAGATGTTTGATAATGCGATTAGCACCAGGTAATGCTTTGGCCTTTGCCCACCTAAACCAATTAATGATTTGAAAACAAGAACCAGTAATGTGTAAGCAATTCAAATATCAGAGTTTCCAACAGGTTTGACTTAAGTTATTAAAAAAGAAATGCATTATTTTGAAAATAGGTTCAGAAGATATAATTAATAGTATTTCTTACGGATTACAAATGCATTAATAGTATTTCTTACTGATTACAAATTATTTTGAAATGCATTATTTTGAACCATATTCAACCTTCCATACTAGATATCTTCATTTTAGTCTGACCTCATAGCTTTTGGTTGCATTTAGGGTGGGGGGGGGGGGGGC